TCTTAAATTTAGATATATTTTTATTTTTAATTCTATTCGACAAAATTTGTCAAACACACACTCTCTCTCTCACACACACACACACACACACACACACACACACACACACTCACACACACACACACACACACACACACACATGTCTTTTTTTATCTCCTTGGTTATGTTCAGAATGCCATTCTAACAAATTACTGCATATATATCCACAGTCATAAGCACCGATTTATGTTTCTGCCGGTGGGTGTCCACTCTCCATACCAAGTGTGTAACAGATGCCTTGTAGACGCAAACAGGGATAAAAGTATTTGTGTGTGTGTTTTCTTATAATAAAGTTAACATTGGCTGCATATCACGTTATTTATTACTTATGAGAGCTGTTGAACCCGGAACACACTCTCTCTCACACACACACACACACTCGCCGTCATAAAGGACAGAAGCCTGTTTCCATGGAAACTGCAGGAGGAGAGCCGTGTGTGTGTTTGTTGTGAAACATCTGCACTTTTCAACACTTCCCATCTTTCACATCTTCAATCCTCACGGCGTTTGTCCTGAAATGAACATTGTTTTCATAACACTGTCTTTATTTGTCGATCTCGGTTAACAGCAGGGGTTTACCAAACAAGCCAGGTTTATTTCAGTTAGTCTGACTTAATGTCAGTTGATTTGGTTCAAAATAAGTCAGAATAACTGAAATAAGCCTGGCTTATTTGGTAAACTTGTTTTATGAAACAGGCCCCAGGTGAAATGAAATGTCACGTCTGAATTTATGGCTGACATGAATGTATTTTTATTTTATTTCTCTGTATTTCAGTAGCTGTGGGAGCGGTGACAGACGTCTGGAGCTGAGGCTGGTTGCATAAAAGATTTAGACTAGTCTTCAAGTTAGTCATCTATATTTTTACTTTAAGACTTTTCTTTAAAATTCTGTGACATAAAAACGTAGATTAGTTTGTGAATCAGATAATTACTGCTGTTAAGCTAACTCAGAAGTCCTCTGAGGAATCTCGTCCGGATATGTCTGAGATTCATCGTGTAATAGTTTGGTGATCCGATTCTCCGACCGCTCGCTCCACTTTCATCATGGATATAAGCCGTGACAATAACATGAGATCAATAAGATGCCGATCACAGAGACTAATAGCAGAGTTAGGTAAGAATCTAGTCGTATTGCAGTTTTCTCGATTGTTAATATAACTGATTTTAGTTGGCGCTTTTCCCCCAAACCATTCAGTTTTCAAAACAAAGACACATTTCTCCAAAAGTTTAACAATGACTAAGTGAAACATTAGCAAATCTGTTGACACGCCAATCAGAATCTGTGCATGCTCACAACAGAGAGCTCGAGCTGAGCCAATCATCTACAGGGCTTTATACTTACACATACAGTATAATTACAGTACAGTACCAGTACATTAGATCATGGAAATGTCACTATTCTAATGTACAGTAAACTGTAGCACATGTTGTACACCTTCAAGCGTGTGACTGCCAAACTTGATTTGTAACCATTTTTTATGTGTACTGCATTTTAGCAGAACTGAGAATGACTGGCTAGAGATATAGTCTTGTGTCAGGAGAGCAAGAAACTGCTGTAGTGCTGTATACTGTAATGACATTTGGCCAAATGTGCCGAGGATGCTAAATGTACTTTTTTTTATTTTATTTTTTACTGTACTGTATTGTATTGTGGTGCATGTTAAGTTCATCAGCTGCTTGCACACAAAATCTTCACTCGTCACACAGTTTCTGAAAGCTGACACTCAAACTGCAGAAGCACACACCAAATCTACAAAACCATACACTAATCTCAGACTTTGACTGTTTTCAGTTTCACAAAACACTTTCTGCAAAACACAACACACAGTTCTCTATGTAACACACACAAATCTAACAGGAATTAATATTATGGCAAAGCTGTTTGCTTTTGAGATGTGTTTGTGATATTCTGAATGCAGTGCTTCATTCTGCAAGAGATGCGAGGCATTTTGCATTTTGTGTGCAATTCTTGGATTTGTGTAAAGTTTGGAAAAAAAGAGGCATTTTGAAGAGCAGGTGAAAAAAACTGTAAGAAAAACTGTAATAACTAGATTGAAAAGCTTGTCTTAAAATCTTGTTTAAAAACATAAATGGTTCGGTCAGTTAGATGTTCTAGATGTTTGCTAAAGTGTTGCTAGTTGGTTGCTGGGATACTCTGGGTGGTTGCTAGGCTCTTGCTATGCAGTTGCTGGGGTGTTGCTAGGGTATATGGGTGATAGAGTGTGTTCTGGGTGATTACAGACATTCCCACCTCTGTTAATAACAGAAAATCAAACACTGTTTTCAAAACTGATCCAGTTTCAGTGCTTTGATATTAATGTTGGGAAATTCAAAAGTTTGTGTTGCTCTTAAACTTGCACTAAACATGATTATACCATCTAAATAGCCTATTCATTTTAATAGAACCGCTCGTCTTCTTTAGTGATACAAGCTCAGAAACATTTATAACCTGTTGAAGTTTATGTTGTGTATTGACTTGGTGCCATGATGGATATTGAAATGTTGTTATTTATTTTTCATTTTAAACAGTATTAAATGAATACTGAATAATGAATCTCAATACTGTTGAGACACCTCGCTGCGCCGCTTGCCCGTCGGTACTTGGACAACTGTTTTTGGAGAGGGGGAAAAGAGTTTCGGTAGAGGAAAAAGTTTTTTGAAGAGAAAGAAAATCTGAGAGAGAAAAATGTTTTTTTTTTTTTAAAGAGGAACATTTTCAGCGAGAGAAGTTTATTCTTTTTTGAAAAAGAAAATTCAGAGAGAAAATATTTTTTTTAAAGAGAAAAAAAAAAGACAAATTTTTTTTTTGTAGAGTAAAAATTCTGAGCAAAAATGCTAGACAGAAAGAAAACAATGTTTTGTGTGAAAGAAAAAATCAGAGAGAAAAAATAATTTTGAAGACCAAAAAAAAATCAAAAAGAAAAAAAAATTGAGAGAGAAAAAAAAATCTTGGAGATAAAAAAAAAAAAGAATCAGGGAGAAAGAAAAAAAATCAGAGCAAAAATGTATTTGGAGAAAAATAGCAATAGTGCAGTAGTTTGAACACCACAACACATTCAACAACAGCTAGATGAAGCACAAAACACACAATAGTGTGGAAGCCCTGAACCACAACGTGATACAAGAAATCAAGGTGCAGAAAAACAATCAAACAATCAAACAAACACCTGTGTCTCAGGTCCTTCCGGAATCGTAGTCCTTAGCTTTTCTTCTCTCCTGCAATGAAATCTTTCTCCCCAAAAACCAAAAACTTTTTTTTGCTTCAAAATCTTTTTTTTCACATAAAAATAATTTTTTTTTTTTTTATGAAAGAGAGAGAGAGAGAGAGAAAAAAAGTTTTGTGCATAGAAAAAAGTTACTTGGCAAGAAAAAAATCAGTAGAGAAAAAAATTTTGAGAAAAAGAAAACCATTGGAGTGAAAAAAAATTCAGAGAGAGAAAAAAATAGAGCAAAAACAATTAAAAAAAATTTTTTTAAAAAAAGAAAGAAAATCATGTGGATCAGAGCTTCTATAAAATCTCAAATGTTTTAAAAGTTTGTGTTTTTGACTGTCTCTTCAGAAACTTTTCTCTCTCTTTTTTCAACACAAATGAGAGAGAGAGAGCGAGAGAGAGAGAGAGAGAGAGAGAGAGAGAGAGAGAGCATTATCATGCAGTACCAATCGCGGCCACGAGGTGCCACTATAATTTAGCATGAAATCTTATGCTTACACTGCTTTCTGTATTCAGACTTGAATAAATACATTTACAAGAAGGTTTTGCAAATCAAAATCAGATTCAATATATGCATATATGACCTTTTTTGATTGTTAGTCTATCTAATGTTAGACAGTTGCAATGACTCTCTTGTCTTGGCTGTCCTGTTTGCCCAACGTTCAATTGATTTCTTTTTTTTTCTTTTTGGGGAGAGAGGAACTTTTTTTGGTTGAGGAATAACAATTTTGGAGAGAGAAAAAAAATCAGGGAAAAAAAACGATAAAAGTTGGAGAGGGAGAAAAAAATGTTCAGAAAAAAAAGTTTGTGGTAAAAAAAAAAAAAAAAACTGTGAGAGAGATATTCTTAGCATTTAGGAACTAACACACTGCTGTTCACATTTTGGTTCAGGACTTCCGTTTGTTTCCCTCTCTGGTGTTGCCTGTTTAGGAAAAAAAATTGAAGAGAGAGAGAGAAAAACATTTTTCAGAAAAGAAACCAATTGGAAAGAGAAAACAAATATTTTTGGAGAGAGCGAGGAAACAAATTCTTAAGACCTGGGCTCAGGAAGGATCTAAGACGATTTTTCTTCCACCTTGACTTTCCCCTCACATTGCGGTTCAGGGCTTCCATGCAATATAAATCATGCTGTGAAAGCTGAACGGTTTGTGACAGCGTCTGAGAGTCGTATCATGTGATTCAGAGGTCAGAGAGCTCAGTCTGTCAGGCCTGTCGCAGCTGGACCGAACGAACACCGAAGGATAGTGATTAATGATCAATGATAGGAAATAAAACTAACATTAGTTAGCATCTACAATTAATAAATTGACATCCCATTAAAAATCATAATGAATTACAAATTAAATTATATATTTATATCTGGCAATAATACTATTACAATATTACCAGCGTCAGTTTGATAGTCTGATAATTGGAAATATATCAGGACTCCAATTTGAGATTATACAGGTTTCATATTCCGATCATTATTATGATTTCTGTTTTATTTTAAATGTTGAATAAGAAACCACGTAACATTATGAGAATAAAAGACGTTCCGGCACTCACGTAAATGTGTTTTACGAGTCCACAGCAACACTGTGCTATAAATACTCTATAGTTTACACTCTCAAAGTCTTTGTGTCGAGCTGATGTGAGGAAGATTATTCTGGAAGAAAAGTGTGAATCTGAAATAAGCACACGACACGGGGTGTAAGAAGTATATAACCAATTGTATTCCCTTCTGTTAATATACACTTATGCAGATTCATCTCACTGGAACACTCTACAATAACATTTAGAAAGAACAAGGGAGCTGAGGAGAAACGCAACCGACAAACCTGAACAGGAACGGAAAGAATGGAAACACATTCACACAGACAAACAAGCGCACAAACGCTCATGCAAACACACAGAGATGGAAGAGTGAAATCAAATGATGATGATGAAGTCTGGTCCTCGTTGAGTGAGTATGGCGTATGAACAGCCCTCCACACGCTGGGTAAAGCGAGCAACATGATTTAAACGGAGGATGGAGTCGATGATCAAAGTCTTCTGGATACAAGGAGATACTCTCACACCTGGTAAAGGAAATGTTCTCTTGTAAACCAAATCACATTTTGCTGTTTAATATTCAAAAGAGCATCTGCTTTCTGGAATCCGATTCACTGATCTTTGCATTTCACTGCACTTTCTTCTTTTTTTCTTTTTCTTAGGGATGATAATTAGGAAAAACACATCTCTTTTAGCACTGGGATGAGATTCAAATATTTAGACATTTCACAAACTGTTTAAACATTTTCTTTTCAATGTAGAGTTTAGTTCTTTTAATAGAGTTGAGAAAATTAGAATACTAGAGTTCAAGATGTACATCTTCCAAGAAACAGGCCATTTTGTCTCTTTCGAGAGAGTACGTTCCATTAAATGCGCAAAGTTCATACCTACTTTCCTCCTGAGGGAACGTGGTCAAAGACGCAGGAGAGTTCACGTTCCCTACGTGGGATGTACATGAACTGGAACGTTATTGTCTTTTTCCTTAGACATTGTGACGCAATAAAAAAAAGCACAAACACGCACACATATAGAAAACAAAACAAAAGACATCTTAGCATCCTGCTCTGCTGTTTTCCACTGATACGGTTTGTTGACGTGATGTAGGCCTTGATCGATCACGTCAGACTTTCAGTTGCTTGTGTCCCTTTGTCTTTTCAAATATCTGTATATGAATATATCTATTTGCTGTTGGGGGTTTCAGGTTCTTGAATGTGGAGCAAAAACCAAGATCATCAGCGGGTTCAGGACAGAGCCCTGGGGAACCCCAAAAACACACAACGAATATTTGCTTGAACGCGGGGTAACTGCAGGCATCCAAGAGTCCTGGCGGCTGAAGGGATCATCCACAGATGTTTCGCTAGTTGTAACGGTTTGATATATAGATATATATTTATTTGTTTGACTCCACAGAAACAGTTTTTGTCTCTTTTCATTTTGAATACCACATGCTGGAAACACAACAGAATTACGTTGCATCTGCTCCTGAGCACCAAGGACAAGCAGAAAAAGAGAGAACAAGCCAAGAAAGAGAGAAAGAGAGGGATGATGGGAGCGGAGGCTGGAAACATGAAGCACTTGGAAAGAGAGGGAGACGCATTTGACACGGAGCTGGTTTGGCAGTATTACAGAGGAGTGTGACTGCTAAACATTTTCGGCACCATCTGTTCCTGAAATGTCACCTATGCCAAGCTGTTCCAGCTGAACTGCTCTCGTTCCCAAACAATTCTCAACCGCATCCAATGCTCTGATGGAGCAACAATGGATCGCACAAGCACCCTGGCGGACACGGTGTTTTGACATCAGGTTAGGAGATGATCTGAATATTGAGGACTCACGTAGTATTTACAAAGAACAAACTAGAGCGTCAAATTACATGCGAGGAAAAATCCACTTTTCTTCAATACAAAAGGTCTGCAGAGTTTCTTTTTGTAATAGGGATTAGCTATCACAAATGGAAATGAGGGAGGGGATGATTCCGAACCCTAGATGCTTTCGAACTCTTTAGCTCTTGCTGAAAATGAGGCCAACAGCTAGACGAGACGGGAAATTAAAGAAGACTGATGTCAGAGCTCTAAATGTGACGGTAAACTGCCGACAAATACCTGGACCTCCCTTTCCATTCCTCATCCTATCTCTCTCCTTCTCCCCTTCGCTTCCGCCTCGGTCCCTACGGAGGCCGAGCTCAGACGTAATACTCCTTGTCTTTGTTCTTCTTGCTCTTTGTGCCCGTCTTGGCTGCGCCGGGCTGCTTCTCCTTCACCAAGGCGCCGTTGCTTTGCGTGGCCGAGTTGCTGATGTAGTTGCGACTCTGGTCCACCTGGTAGGAGCCTTCATCGCGGTTGCGGTACTTGTACATGGCGTAGAGTAGGATGAGGATGCAGAGGGCGGCTGCGGCCACGATGCCCACCACCATGCCCGTCGTGCTGCTGGACTCTCGGATTACCTCCACCGCTCCTGGAGGCCCTCGGTCTGGTGACGAGGGGTCTGTAGTGGGCACATGGGGGAAATTGGGAGGATATGTTATACCTGGGACGTGCCGGTGCCGCCCGCCGTGTTCAGGGTCGCCCGACGGCTGAATGGGCGGCAGCAGCACCTGGTCGCGGGTGTTCATTTTACCCGCAGGGATGTTGGAGCCACTGTTGATGCCGGGTTTGAGCCGGGGCACCGGGGGGGCTGTGGGGGTGAACGGGAGCGGCGGGCGATGGGACTCGGGCAAATGGGCAAAGGGCCGGTCACCTCGGGGGTTCCCGGCCGCAGGGGGAGGGGGGAGTACGGTCCGGTCAGTGACAAGGGGGGAGTTTTTATAGTAGTCCTCATCGTCGGATTCCGTCATCTCACCCGAGCCGAAGGCTGAGACCTCCATGGGCTCTTCGCAGTCCTCCTGGTCCAGCGGACAAGGGGGTCGGCCAGGCAAGGGGAGAGACTCTTTGGTGGTCTCGAGCAAGGTGAGGAAGGGGCGATAGGTCGGGGGCGGGGGAATAACGGGGTAAAGTGTCACAATTGACGGTGGGTCAAGGGAATCCACAGTTATAATTGGCAACACTAGTTCACCTCCTAGGATGAAAGAGAGAAGGAACACGGCGTTAGTTGGAACCCGAGCAAATGAATGCACAAGAGAGAGAGAAGAACCATCATTAGAACAGCACTAAGACTTAATGAGGTTAGTTCTAATGTTAGTTTTGTTATTTAAAATCAGACTATAAACAGCTAGGCTAATGCTAAGGCATTACAGTCGTATACATTACTGGGTTAGAGTAATACAGAGAAACATTAAAACTTAAGCATGTGCTAGACCAGCTAGAATGTACATTCATATAAAAATCCTACAAAAACAGTTCTACGTCTGTGTTAATGCTAATGCTAGCTGTGCTAACCTCCACTCACTGACTGCATGTTTAAGAAGAGAGCAAACCACGTAGTACAGGTCACTTACATCAACAAATTGGCCGCATGATTTTTGCATGAAAAAAAAATTACAAAAAGAAAGCTGTGTAAGATTGTTCTGGGATAGTGATAAACAAATTTCAGCCCATGTTTCAAAGTAGGTAAAGTGTTTTGAATTCATCATTCAGTGAACGATTTCTCGGAGCTCATAAAGCTCATAATCCCCACTCCCCGTTGGCATGGTGATAGCTTGCTAATGATTAAGATCTATATGCAAAACTTCCCACTCTCACCCCGGGGTACCGAAGGTGATATTTTCAAATTACTGTCCCACAAGACTTTCCCCCCCAAAACACAGAGCAAATCTTTCAAGATAATTATCCATAAGCCTGTCCCTTTGAAATCTCATACCATGAATAACAAAAGCCCATTTTTTTCCCTTGGAACTGGCTTGTCAAGGAATGTCAAAAATTGAAATTACACAAGACGTATTCAAGTATTCATTAGGATTCGGCTCAGATTTGTCAAACAGTTTCATCTGTGGCATCAACACCTGAAATGGAGCATGAATCTAGGAAAACGGGGTGCAGAAGAGATTGTTTTGTTTAAACATAATGCACATCATTGTTATTCACATGATGAGGCAAATTAGTGTGACAAACATTGCTTAGGGGGGGGAGGACTGTTTGGCTCTGATCTGTGCGCTTTGGGAAACCTCCTCAAACCATGGCATCAACACGGCACCCTCCCCTTAACCAGAAGAACCTTCAAAAAGACCATCCTGTTTGCATATTGATGAACAGAGTCATTAAGCTCAAAAAAATCCACCAGGAGAAAAGGTGATATTAACATTCAGAACACACATACGTCTGTTAGAAGCTGAAAAGGAAACAGTATGTTAATGGCATCTTTCACAGAGTCTGTCCCACCCAACAGCCCCGGCGTAGAGGCGTGCATCTGCGGGTTGAGAGTCTGGGGAACGGTTCAGTATAAAATGAATGCCGGTTCACCGTCGACAAATCTTTTATATCCATTGCTAGAAAAAGCCGCTGGAGGCGACCAGCCGTTTAGAGGAACGATCTGTCAAGGGCGGCGAATGGAGTCTGATAATTCAGTAACTGACACCGCCGGTTTGTGAATTATACGAGCCGACGTGTTAATGTGCCACCGGGCACAACAATATTTCCTGCTTTTATTAAATTTGTTGGAATATCTTACGATACGCAAGGAAATCCAGAGCAATCTGTTCCCAGAGAGGGCAGAATCGCTCACAGGAGAGGAACCTTCAATCCTGACGATTACCTTCTAGTATCTTCCCTAAAATGCACTTGAAGGAGAACTGATGGAAACGAGCAAAGAGATGCGAACGATAAACCTCCTCAAACCGTCAATCCACAGACGCACAAGTCAGTGAACGTGTGCGCAACCCATCAGCCTGTCTGTGTGTTCGTGACAAATCTCGTTATAGATTAGAAATCTTTGTTCCAGTAGTCTGTGATTGGTCAAACTTTGCCTCCTGTGACAGTTGCGTTGACAACAAGAACAACATCAGAATAGCATCATGACACATGAGTACAAACTAATATCTCACATGCTCAGCGCAGTGCCGTTCTCACTTGTTTCACGATGATTGTCTGGAGTGAGTAAGTGCCACCGTGAGCACCATCAGTAACTGGAGTAATGGCTGCAGCTTTATTCGTGCTTTTATTTCTTAAACTGCAACAAATGACACTTACATCTGTCTGTTGCAAATCCATCGCGAGAGAAGCAATTTAAGCCAGACAAACTACCAAAGACGCACTGTTCTTTAACCGGCAAATTAAATGTCATTAACAGTGAGAAATGCACAGAATTAAATCAATAAACCTGAGCAAGTCTAGCACAGAGCACCTGCATCAACTCAGAGTAAAAAATACACACTTTTGTGCTTATACTGCAGTTTTGAGATGGAGAAAATGGAAATACAAGCACAGCAACAAAACAAAAACAAAACATCTCTTTCTCTCCTTCACTGAATTCATGATCAGTCTTGGGTAAGATACTCTAAACAAGTCATTAATTACTAGCTACTAATTACATCTTCGACAGTGTAATTAGATTACTATCTCTCAAAAAGTAATGCATGCCATATCAACCTCGACCAGTTGAACAAAACAAGGACAGACATGAAATGGCTCTTTTAATTATTTCAAATAAAGTTGATTCTTGAATGAAAATAAATTATTCTTGAGCTGACCAAAGTATTTAAAGGTTACATTAAACAAATTTTCTAACATTAGATGATACATTTCTATGTTACATCCACTATTGTTTTATATATAATTTGTTTTATAGCTTATAAAATATGTAATGCAATTACATCAGAAGTAACAGTAATTAAATTACAGAAAAATCAAGAGTAATCCCTCTCAGTAATTAAATACTTAGTTACATTACACCAAATATTGGTCATGATTCTGAGCTTTAAGTCTAAATGCCCTGCAAAAGATGATTTTCTTCCACAGTATTTTGTCTTGTTTTGCAGTACAAATATCTAAACTTCCTTAAATCAAGTTACATTTACTTGAGAAGCTAAATTATTTAAGATATTAAGTCTTGTTCTCTGAAAAAAATGAAGTGACTTCATGCTTTTAGGAAGCAAAAACTATCCACCAGTGGGGTCAGAAAAATAAACAATTCAAATGGAAAACAAGTTGATCGGCAGATATTTTTTCTTGTTTAAAGCGTAAACACTTAATTTAGATTTTTTTTTTTTTCAGAAAACAAGATTTGTTATCTAACATTGTTTTGCCTCTCAAGTAATTATATCTTGATTAGATATTTGTACTGGAAAATAAGACAAAAATATTAAGGAAGTGTTTTGTCCTGGAGGTTTGAGCAGAACCTTGCAAGTTGAACGGATGCACTACTGGATCACATTAATGTCAAGATGAGCAGCACAATGAAAGAGACTCCTATGTCCAGAAAAACATCCAGCTTGTTTTGGACATCCAGGAGCCTGTTTACATCCACACACAGTAATGGAAGCTGGAAATGTGACTACTGTTTGCCGTGGGCGCTCAGGCCACGGGGAAGGCTGAGATTGGAGTTGTCTCTCTCTTAGCTAATTTGATTTTGAAGCTGAACACTAGAGTGACGGTGGGGGTGAGACCGACCCCGATGCTTAATAATTGACAACAGAAGACACCGGGAGCCTAGACGCTCAGAGAGACTGAGATTAACCTCTATAAATGTACTTGCTTCACATCAAACCACACATTTCATATGCAGCGTGCTGAAATATTCATGTTTGTTTTGTTAGACTTGCTTCTGCAACTAATAAATTAAGAATATCTTGATTATATACGAAGAGACACAGAGCTGCTTTATTGTTTCTATAAAGCCAATGAAACCTATTTATAAAGCTATAAATCAAAACCTGCTTCTTGTTCTTATATGTATATGGTTTTTCATTATATACATAAGAATTCAGTGTTGGAATGCCTCACATATAATGCATGTATATGAAGGATAAATGCTTCACTGCATACAGCGTTGTTAACTAAAACTATTCAAAATCACCTTTGTTCACTGCATATAAATATATCAATGTTTATACAAATAGAATTATTGAATAAAAAAAGTAAAAATCATGAAAATTAGAAATGTTGCATTTGGGAACTAACTGACATAAGTTAAAGCTAAAAGAAATATACCCCCCCCCCCAAAACTAATTAAAATGACAAAAGCCCAAAACAAAACTACTAAAACTGAAATAAAAATAAAGCCAAATAGAAATATTAGCCCCTACCCAAAACAAACTAATAAAAATGGGAAAAGCCCATAACAAAGTTACCAAAACTGAAATAAAAATAAATTAAAGCTAAACAGAAATGTAAAAAATAAAACTAATAAAAAGGGCAAAAGCCCCCCCAAAATTGACTAAAACGGAAATAAAAATAATTTAAAGTTAAATAGAAACATAAACATGGGAAAAGCCCATAATGTATTTACTGTCTCGTGTTTGTGTATAACAGTCAGACTGTAGTGTGTGTAACAGTCAGACTGTCGCTTGTTTGTAAGTCAGACTGTAGTGTGTTTGTGTGTAACAGTCAGATTGTAGTGTGTTTGTGTGTAACAGTCAGACTGTAGTGTGTTTGTGTGTAACTGTCAGGTTGTAGTGTGTTTGTGTGTAACAGTCAGACTGTAGTGTGTTTGTGTGTAAAAGTCAGACTGTTTTGTGTTTGTGTAACAGTCAGACAGTAGTGTGTATGTGTGTAAAAGTCAGACTGTCATGTGTTTGTGTGTAACAGTCTGACTGTAGTGTGTTTGTGTGTAAAAGTCGGACTGTTTTGTGTTTGTGTAACAGTCAGACAGTAGTGTGTATGTGTGTAACAGTCGGAATGTAGTGTTTGTGTGTAACAGTCAGACTGTCGCATGTTTGTGTGTAACAGTCAGATTGTCGCATGTTTGTGTCTAACAGTCATACTGTGGTGTGTTTGTGTGCTACAGTCAGATTGTTGTGCGATTGTAGTTTCAGCTCATTATAAACTAGAGAATGGTCAGCAGGCTCCAGCGAATGATGTAATTAGGAGCTTCTAATGAGGGCAGAGATTAATTCGCCCATGGAGATCAGCTGAGATAAGAGACGTTTCTGTGGGACCCTGGAGCAGAAACGCAATGCGGAGATTTCCGTCCCTCCATCCATCCGTCCGTATCTCTCTGCTTCGTCTGTGGCTCATCCATCTCTCCCATGATACAGCAAACGTGAGGAACATGCTGATGCCAGTCAGAGCCTCGCTCTCTTCTCTGTGTTTGATTTGTACTTTATCTTTCTTGTTTACTTTTACTTTGTTGTCCAGCATTTGACGGTGAGTCACACAATTTGTTTGCTCTCTTTGTCCTTTTGTCTGCTCCAGTGTGCAATAGAAATATTTGCTTTCAAAAACACAGATGAACTGCTGCACACCCTCAGATGGTTGCTATGGTGTGCCTTGGAGTTTGCTGGGGCATTCTGAGTGGTTCCTGAAGCATTCTTGGTGGTTGCTAGGCGGATGCTGGCCTGTTGCTAAGGTGATGAACTTTTCACAAAAAAAAAATCACTGTTTTTTGATCCTGACACAAAATGACCAGCTAACATTAATTGACTAATCATATCAGCAGCACATGTGAAAGTGTGAATGAGTACTAGTCAGGTAAAATCACTATCATACTAATTAGATTGTAAGAGCAGACTGATTGCTATAAAAGGAGGGAAGAAGCGCTTCCAATCATTGTGTTCTTGTTAGCAATGGTTACCTCCAAAGAAACACGTGCAGCCATCATCTCTTTGCATTAAAATGGCCTCACATGCTAGGAAATTGCTACAAAGAATATTGCACCTGAAAGAACCATTTACCGGATAATGAAATCAAAATGTCTTGCAAGAGCGACTTCTTCCAACGATCCATGCGCAATTTGGTGATGATCCGTGCATTTTCCAGCATGATGGAGCACCATGTCACAAAGCAAGAGTGATAAAGAAGAGACTCGAAGATCATTACATTGAAATTTTGGATCCGGGGTCAACACTGTAAATATTGACTCATTATATTTTTTTGCCAATAAAAGCCTTTAAAATGTATGATATGCTTATCATTGTTTTTCAGTATACCATAGAAACATGTGGAAAAATAATTTACAAATACTGAAGCAGCAAACTTTTTAAAACAAAATTTATGTCACTGCCAAAACTTTTGGCAACGACTGTACTTCACGAGCAAACTGTGTAATACAACTTGTTTTCAAAATATATGAGTTTGAGTTTATCAAAAACATGATGTGAACATGAGTAAATAATCTAATTTAGTTTCCTTAATTTATATTTATTAAAAATTATATTTATAATTGATCAGGCTCCAACAATCAAAGCTACTATATGAAATGAAAATGATTAAAGACATTGCATGGTACAATATACATTTATTAATAACTTCAAACCATAAGAGTTCCTACTAAATGACATTAATTTAGGTTCAATCTGATTGTCAACTTGAATTGAGGTATATTTTGTCCAATCACAGCTGCACACTGGATGAGATTGTGTAAGTGTGTGTGTATGTTTGTGTGTGTGTTTACAGCATATAAAAACACAGACGGATGGTAAGACTGACTCACCGTTTCCAGGTTCACACTCCTCGAGATCTTCATCATCACTTGGGCATTCTGCTGACGCTACTAACAGGTCGTCAGTATTCTGCAGCGAAAGAGACAGACAGACAGTCAGTACAGTGTCCATCTTCAATATAATGAATTAAAAATACATCAAACACCAACCACATTCACAGAGACAGCTGTCATGTGATGATCCCTCACACTCTCTTGACTGCAGCTCTGTGAATCTCTGTTTTCAGTCCATTAATCGGGTGTCCATGTGTAAATATATACTGTCATATTTGAACACACAGAGCACTGGAGACTGTCGTCTCTGAGCCAAAGCTGCCAGACACAGTGTCTGAAATAATTCTCATCCATTTCTCATGACACGTCAAACTCATTTCAGCATCTGAACATATCGAGAAAATTAGTCTCTCTGAGGAAAACACACAGTCAGTGGTGAAACATCAGCTTTATTCAGCCATCAGAGAGATTCTCCATCAGAACAAAGAGCTTCTGATCAGACCTGTGATTGACAACATGTCCCTCTGTCTGTCTTCCTGTCCGTCCATCTGTCTGTCCATCTGTCTATATGTCCATCCATCCATCTGTCTGTCTGTCTGTCCGTACATCTGTCTGTCTGTCCATCCATCTGTCTGTCCATCTTTCCATTTGTCTGTCCATCCATCTGTCTGTCCATCTTTCCATTTGTCTGTCCGTATATACACTGAACAAAATTATATATACAACACTTTTGTTTTTGCCCCCATTTTTCTTTCCTGCTGACGCTACTAACAGGTCGTCAGTATTCTGCAGCGAAAGAGACAGACAGACAGTCAGTACAGTGTCCATCTTCAATATAATGAATTAAAAATACATCAAACACCAACCACATTCACAGAGACAGCTGTCATGTGATGATCCCTCACACTCTCTGACTGCAGCTCTGTGAATCTCTGTTTTCAGTCCATTAATCAGGTGTCCATGTGTAAATATATACTGTCATATCTGAACACACAGAGCACTGGAGACTGTCGTCTCTGAGCCAAAGCTGCCAGACACAGTGTCTGAAATAATTCTCATCCATTTCTCATGACACGTCAAACTCATTTCAGCATCTGAACATATCGAGAAAATTAGTCTCTCTGAGGAAAACACACAGTCAGTGGTGAAACCTCAGCTTTATTCAGCCATCAGAGAGATTCTCCATCAGAACAAAGAGCTTCTGATCAGACCTGTGATTGACAACATGTCCCTCTGTCTGTCTTCCTGTCTGTCCATCTGTCTGTCCATCTGTCTATATGTCCATCCATCCATCTGTCCATCTGTCTGTCCATCCTTCCATTTGTCTGTCCGTACATCTGTCTGTCCATCCATCTGTCTGTCCATCTTTCCATTTGTCTGTCCATACATCTGTCTGTCTGTCTGTCTGTCCGTACATCTGTCTGTCTGTCCATCCATCTGTCTGTCCATCTTTCCATTTGTCTGTCCATCCATCTGTCTGTCCATCTTTCCATTTGTCTGTCCGTATATACACTGAACAAAATTATAAACACAACACTTTTGTTTTTGCCCCCATTTTTCATGAGCTGAACTCAAAGATCTAAGACTTTTTCTATGTACGCAAAAGGCCTATTTCTCTCAAATATTGTTCACAAATCTGTCTAAATCTGTGTTAGTGAGCACTTCTCCTTTGCCGAGATAATCCATCCACCTCACAGGTGTGGCATATCAAGATGCTGATTAGACAGCATGATTATTGCACAGGTGTGCCTTAGGCTGGCCACAATAAAAGGCCAATCTAAAATGTGCAGTTTTACTGTATTGGGGGGTCCGGAAAGGTCCGAAAACCAGTCAGTATCTGGTGTGACCACCATTTGCCTCCCTGTGCATCCATCTGTCTGTCCATCTTTCCATTTGTCTGTTCATACATCTGTCTGTCTGTCCGTCCATCTGTCTGTCCGTACATCTGTCTGTCCATCTTTCCATTTGTCTGTCCATACATCTGTCTGTCTCTCCGTCCATCTGTCTGTCCATCTTTCCATTTGTCTGTCCGTACATCTGTCTGTCTGTCCATCCATCTGTCTTCCTGTCCATCTTTCCATTTGTCTGTCCATACATCTGTCTGTCTGTTCGTCCATCTGTCTATCTGTCCATCCATCTGTCTGTCCATCTTTCCATTTGTATGTCTATCTGTGCATCCATCAGTCTGTCCATCTGTCTCTCCATCCATCCATCCATCCATCCATCTGTCTATCTGTCCGTCCATCTGTCTGTCCATCTTGCCCTTTGTCTATCTGTTCATCCATCCATATGTCCATCTGTCTCTCTGTCCATCCATCTATCTGTCCATCCATCCATCTGTCCATTTGTCTGTCTGTCCATCTGTCTGTCTGTCTGCCCGTCTGTCTTCCTGTCTGTCCATAACTAAAACTAAAACTCAAACCATAAAACAATCAGCTAATTGCCAAGGCAACGATTCTCAGAGTTAATGTACTAAAATAAAAATAAAAATCTGAAATAAAAATGAATGAAAACTGACTGTTCAAAACAACACTGTATACTAATTAGTAATTTTAACAGTCACTAATCAGAATAACTAATCTGTAAACTAATCTAAACCTTTTTAAAAAAAAATTCTGCACTGATTGTTATTCAAATATTTAGGAATACAAACTCTTCCAAAATGCAATTATGATGATACAGTATACATAAATAAGTGTATGAAGAGAATTAGTAGTTGGCGTTAGTTCTGGTCAGTGAATCTCGTCTCCTGAATGCACGGATCGGTTGAGTGACTGTGAACTGGACGAGGAACTCGTTCTCAGCAGATTTATTTGACGCTTGCTCTCGCTGAACCAGCCGCAGGACACAATCCTGTTTTCTTTTAATTAGTTCTGAAAAGCTGCAGACTATTGTACTGAAGACTGGAGTGTTTCTTCACTTATTTATTTCATAAAGTGATATTTATTAGAGACTACATCATTTGGAGCGCCGCGGATCAAAATCACATTCCAGCTTCACATGTTTCTGTAACCCAACATGACATTTCAGTCGTACGGATCCGTTTAATTCGTCCTCTGCCCAGCGAATGCATTAACGCCACAGACTCGGAAACCATTCCCAGTGGAAAAGGCTTTTGTTTTTCAGATATTAATGGGCCGCTGTTTTGAATGTTTTGTTGCCATAATCAAATGTCTCTTCTTCCTGTTTGTGAACCATTGAGCTGGATTTGAATGCTCTCTCAGTACAGGAAGAGGAAAGCTAATAACCGCAGGCAAACGCTGGCGTGTGTTTTCATGTCTGTGAGATGAGTTATAGTATCCGATCCTACATCAGTCTGTTTATCCCCGCCCACCGATTCTACTGCACTGCCTGTTTAGCCCCGCCCACCGATTCTACTGTGAGTAACTGTTTTCATTACGTGATCATTATTGCTTTGTCTGTTAAACAGATCGTTTGATATGTACTGTGTATTTATTCGTTTTTGCCCTACAGCAGTGTCCATCTATGAGGAATGTACAGCAGTGGGTGTTTCCGAGTCCGAGTCTACAATCCTCCACGTCTATTCAAACAGAGTGTTCTGATGAGGGGGGTCAAAACAGCACAGAAAATAGCCTATTACTTCTAAATTATGATGATTTTTGATGTAAAAATCTTGATATTATAAGTGGACCTCAGAGAACAGTACAAAATAATTTTAAAAAGCCATCACCATCATCATCGTCATCATCATTATCATTTTATAGTCATACTGATACATAATCACAAAATGATGTGCCAAAATGTGCAGTCCTAAAACAAGCACAAAAATATGGATTTAAAAAAATAAAAAAAAATAAAAAATAAATCTATATTATATACAGTGGGTACGGAAAGTATTCAGACCCCCTTAAATTTTTCACTCTTTGTTATATTGCAGCCATGTTTGCATTGCCTTCTGATCCCAGCGTTAGGAAAGAGTGAATGAACTTTATTTTTAATGAAGATCCAGACCGCGTCTTTAAGAACTCGGTACTTTATTCACGTCTTTTTACTGTGGAATTGTTTACAAACAAGGCACAATTCGACGCAGGATTTTCAGAAAGATCGATGCTGTGCGACTATATTGGATCCGACAGTAATGTCACAACACGAGTGTGAGTAACTGTTTTCATTACGTGATCATTATTGCTTTGTCTGTTAAACAGATCGTTTGATATGTACTGTGTATTTATTCGTTTTTGCCCTACAGCAGTGTCCATCTATGAGGAATGTACAGCAGTGGGTGTTTCCGAGTCCGAGTCTACAATCCTCCACGTCTATTCAAACAGAGTGTTCTGATGAGGGGGGTCAAAACAGCACAGAAAATAGCCTATTACTTCTAAATTATGATGATTTTTGATGTAAAAATCTTGATGACATTATAAATGGACCTTAGAGAAAAGTACAAAAAAAACAAAAAACAGAGGCAGTTCATGATTTCTTTAAATACTTAGTAACATAGTAATATTAACATTTCTTATTTTGTTTCATTTAGTCATTTTTATAGTTTTATTTTGTATCACCACCAACATCACCATCATCACCATCATCATCGTCATCATCATTATCATTTTATAGTCATACTGATACATAATCACAAAATGATGTGCCAAAATGTGCAGTCCTAAAACAAGCACAAAAATATGGATTTAAAAAAATAAAAAAATAAAAAAAATAAATCTATATTATATATATATCATGAATCACAATTTTTTTTCCAGAAAAATTGCAATTTGAAAAAGTCATGTAGCAGTCAATTAGTTAACATTTGAAAATGAGGAAATTAATACTCTTTTATTAGGAACTGTGTAAAAAAAAGAGATAAAATTATTATATATAATATTGCAATAGTAATATGTATTGTTTTTATTTAAAAATGTATTTTTAATTTAGTAATAATAATAATAATAATAATAATAATAAATAATAAATTACTAAATTATATTTTTTTGGCCAAAATGTGCAGTCCTACAAAACAAAAACATCAAATCAAAGATTTTTTTAAATCACATCTTAAATCACAATTTTATATAATAAAAATTGCATTTGGATTTTCATCCCAAATCCTGCAGCCCTGCAGTCTCTGCTGTTGATCATCACAGGAATTAATCCTGACACTAAGTCTCTGAACTAAAAAAAACGAAGTCCTTATCAAACAGAGAAGAACTGTTTTCCAGCACACTGGATCTTTTGACTTTTGCAAAAGCGTTTGCTCCTGTTTTCTCCGTTTGATCTCAGATTGTGTGTGTTACTGCAGTGACCTGCGTGACGCTGTCTCTCATGGTGGGCGAGCGTTGTTTGCGGGTGGTGGTGGTGGCCATGGTGGTGGTGGTCTCCATGATGGTGGTGGACATGTCTGCGAGCGGCGTGGTGGAGGTGGTGTCGGTGCTCATGACGGAGGGCACGTCTCCCACCAGACGCAGGTTCCCCTGCACCTGCACATTCGGGTCGCCCTCCGCCGCCAGCTTCAGCACCTGCAGGCCGTTATAGTATAGCCCCGAGATCTGACCCTGGAAGTTACGGCCCTTCTCACCGCCGCCCACCTTAATGAACGCCTGGCTGTTGAAGATCGTCAGCTGCCGACCTGCGGAGACCGAGAAACACACCCCAGCCATCAGCGTCCGGTCAGTGACGGAGAAACACCGCAAACCTCTGGCCCGATAACACGCCTGATCAGCTCTGAAACCACAGCCAGGCACTGAATGATACAGGTCTTACTGTATCAGTAATATTATACTGTAATATTAATCTTAATATTACTGCACTGTTTCATATTAGTGTGCATTGTGTCCTATGACTTGGCTGCTATAATACATTAATGGTAAATAAATAAAAGTGGAAAACAAAGAAAACCACGAAAAAAAGAAGAAAAATTAAAATAAAAATAGAAAAACAAACGAATTACTAAAAACAAGAAAAAAAACAATTAATTCAAATATAAAAATATAAAAAAAAAAAAACATGTAGAAGAAACAAATCTGTCAGAAGAATCTAAAAACAAATTAATTAATTAAAACAAAACATAATGAAAAAGAATCACAAATAAATAAATAAACAAACAAATAAATAAAATATGAATGAAAGAAAAATAAGAAAAAAAGACAGAAAAATTAATGATTAAAAATAGAAAGGGAAATAGTAAAAAGAAAAATAAATAGAAATAGAAAAAAGAAAAACAAATACATGGATCAAAATCTATCTATCTATCTATCTATCTATCTTGTGTGTGTGTGTGTGTGTCTTATATTTATCTTATTGTATATTTTGATATAATTATGTCATATAATGTGGTTTTGTATCATCTGATACTGTATCAAATCACAATTGAAGTTAGTGGTCAACCTCTCTTGTGTTACCGAGAGTGAGGTTTGCTGAGTATCAGCAGTTTCTCTCTCATTCATACGCCATCATCCTCATCTCCATGGAAACGTCACGCGGGCAGAATGACCTTTGGAGGGTTTCAGAGATGAGAGATGGACAGAATGATGAAGATGGGACATATTCATAAAGCAGCTGATGATGAAAGACAGACAGAAAGCAAAGGAAAGCGGTTTGTGAGACTGACGGTGTTTGATTTTGACGGTTTTAATGCTTTAATGTTGCCTCTGATGATGATGATGATGATGGATTGGTGAGAAGATGAAGAGCACACACACACACACACTGGGTCCGTCACACATCTCCACCTCTGTGAATGTGTTTGACTCTCTGATCCTGAGTAATCAATTCATTAAAGTTCCTCTCTTCTCCTCCTGTGAGCTTTTCACATCCGACCGTTCAGAGCGAGCGACCGGAGAGATCTCCGTCTGATTGAGCGTCTGACGTCATATAACGGATCTGAGCACCACTAAGAAATCCCCAAAGAATGGAAACATCCAGCAGTGTGAATTCATGATCTGAGCTCCGCAAAACATCCCCCATCATCTGGAGAAACATCAGCGAGTCGAGTGAAGATGCTCTGATTTCATCAGTGATTCTGAGGACAGAGAGCCTGAGGAGATCAGTGACCCGCAGGAGAAACACCAGCAGAGAGAGAAAGACAAAGAGAAACACATATAAATAATCTGAAATAGAAAAAAAGAAGGAAAAAGGAAAAAAAAAAACTGTTTAAAAATAATAATTAAAATAAAAAAAGATAGAAGAGGTAAGAAGGTAAAATAAAAACAAAAAAATATACATGTAAAAATAAATACATACAAACATACATAGATAAAGAAAAAGAAAAATAAATAAATAAATAAATAAAAACGGAAAAAAACTACGAAAAACAAATCAAATTATAAAAAACGAAATAAGTATATATATAAGTAAACAGATAAACAGAAATAATAAATAAACAAAAAGAACAAATGAATGAAAAGATACAAATAAATAAAAATAGAAAAGAAAAAATAACAAAAAGAAAGAATAAAAAAAGAAAAATAAATAATTAAAAAAGAAAGAAAGAAAGAAACAATCAGAAAAAGAAGGAAAAAAGAAAATAATAAAAAAGAGAGAAAGAATCGACTGACTGACAGTGACTCTGAACATGATCATTCTGTCATCATTTACTCTCCTTCATGTCATTAAACCTGTATGACTTATTTTCTTTGGTCAAACATAAAACACTGAGACATTTCTCAAAATATCTTCTTTTACGTTCTTTATTATGTTTGCTTTCTCTTCTTTAAATGACGACAGAATGTTCATTTGTGGGTGAACTGAACCTCTGAACACCGAGAGCAGAGCGAGTGCCGTCTTCTGTCCAGATGAGTTTCTTCTCATTATAAAGGCAAAATAAACTCACAGATGAAAGACGAGTGAAAAGAGCGGTGCTCCGTAATTACAGAGTGTGTGGACTCACTGCACTGACTAATGCACAAACGGCCTAAAAGCTGCTGAGGTGTAATGATACCTGTATCTCTGTGTGTGTGTGTGTGTGTGTGTGTGTGTGTGTGAGAGAGAGAGTGTGTGTGTGTGTGTGTGTGTGTGTGTTAGAGAGTGTGTGTGTGTGTGTGTGTGTTAGAGAGTGTTTGTGTGTGTGTGTGAGGTCGTCTCCTCTGATCCAGAGCACTGGAGTGGGTGTTTGATCTGGTGACCCGTGTCCTTCACCAGCAGGCATGAAGGTAGTGAAACTGAAGTTCTGGTAAGAAAGTTTCCTCTGCTCACATGCTTCTGCTGCGTCTGCTTCTTCTGAGATGTTTCCTCCTCAACAACACACAGATGAAGGGAATATGAGCGGTTGCCGGGGTCACAGGTTGTTGCTATGGTGGCTTTTAAGGCATCATTATACAGTTCTGGGTGGTTGCCAGGTAAAGTCCATCCTCAAGAAGTCTTTATTATGTAAAATGTATACAAGATGTCTGTATTAGTGATGCACTGAAATTAATTTTGTAACCAAAACCGAAATTGAAGTTTTCACTTAACTGAAAACAGAAAATAATATTTGTTTAGTAATCAATGAATTATTCAAATAAATAAACATTTAAATTGCACACAAGGCAGTTTTTATATCAACTTTTAATGGTATATTAATTTGTTGTTGAGATACAAACATTTAAATGCCAGCTATAAAAAACATATGTTTTCATGACATATTCAAACATGCATTAAATACTGAAGAACAGGTTCAGTAAAATATAATGAATATGTAATATAGTGCATATATTGTGGGAAATTATTTATTTAAAATTAATATATTAATTATTTGTCTAGCTGATTATGGAGTTTATGGTGATTGAATGTCTTTTCTGTGGTAAATGTGACATTATTGATCTCAAGCTGTTTTATTGACGTACTTCTGCGGTTGAATCACTGATTAGTGGCTTCTATGATTCATGATCGATTTCAGTAAGTTGTTCTGTTTCTGATGTTTCATCATGTTTATTTGCTGCTGTAACTAGTAGTAAAGAGGAAGAGATGATCAGTGATCTGACGCCACACATTAAATAGCCACAAAATCATGTTTACTGTTTGAATTTAGTGATAAAACTGACAGAATGTGTAAGATGAGGCTTTGTTTCATATTAAAAGTAACAAAACAAATCTCTACAAATAATGTTTAGATATGCATCAACTGAAAACAGCAGAATAAAAGATCTCGGCTCATCAAAATGATCTATTGTTTTGGCCAAAACCAGAAATACTTTTTCAGCTGCCATAATTTCAGTGCACCACTAGTATATATATACTATATATATATATATATATATATATATATATATATATTTGTGTGTGTGTGTGAGTGTTTGTGTGAGAGAGAGAGAGAGAGAGAGTGTGTGTGTTTGTGTGAGTGAGTGTTTGAGTGAGTGTTTGTGTGAGTGAGTGAGTGAGTGTTAGTGTGAGTGAGTGAGTGAGTGAGTGTGTGAGTGAGTGAGTGAGTGTGTGAGTGAG